GTTATTTTTAGATCTTAAAAAGAAATAGAAAATGCTACTACTGAAAAAATATAATAAAATGAACTGCACTGTATTTGACGTACCTGAGCGCCATTCTATTTCCATTAAAAAGAAATATTTTCATAGTAATAGTTCCGCAATTACCGTTCTAATCATCTTTCTATCGAATATTCTGCTTCTTCGGTTGCTAAATACTTTCTGTTCTGCATTTGATTTGCTTTGACAAAGCAAAAACATGTTTTACTTTTACGACATGGACATCAATACTTCAATACATCAATAAATCATTTCTCGTTCTTCTATCTTTTCTGATCGCCATAAAAATGGGCAATTGACTTTTTCATAAAACTGAATGTGGACATTAGTTCTACAACCTTCTTACTTCTTAATCTTTTTAATGAGCAAAAGTGTTACATATGTATATAACACTCCACACGTATTTCACTACTTATCAAACATGTAATAATGAGTTAAATTTTTAATTATCACTCGCTCAAAAATTATTCATAACCAAATTGCAAGCTAAATTGAACAGCTTAATGCAAATAACCCTACCTCAGTCTATTCTTCCTTTCGTGCACTGAAACTCCCGGTTTCCTATCCTGTAAACACCCGTGATTAAAAGTTGTCTTCCGTGCTCGACTCCTGAAACGTATAAGATCGCGATAAGAAGTACGCTGGCGGGCGGTAATATAATTGCACGTTGGAAACAGTGGAAACGTCGTCATTAAAGATGTAATCACCAAAGGATGTACCTACACTACTCGCGACGATGCCGAGCTCTAGGTAATCAATCAGTTAGAATGTAACTCGTCGGTAAAATGACACACGCTATGACGTTTAGTGCCACCACAGCATGTATATTTCAATCCAATAAAATAAACGGAAGCTAGAAATGCAGAATAGAAAGAAACAAACGGTTACTCTACAATAGTGATTATTAAATATGTAACTTCTTGCATCGTCGCAGCGCGGTAACGTCGATAATGACGATAATTACATGGGGGTGAATTCCAAGAGGGAACTATCCCATTTAAGGCAGCGTAAACATTTCGTTTACCTACGGCTCTTAGTAGCATCTAATGCTTTGAATGATACACTTACTTCAAAGATCATCTCTATTTTCATATTCTCATGTTCGATACTACATTTGATATGAAATAACTTCTTCTTTTGATGAATCAAAATATACCGTAAAAAAATCCTGCTAGTCATATTGCAAAGACTGATAGTATAAGACCTAACTGTCCGAAGGTACTTGATCGTTCGATCTTTCCTAATGCGAAGTGTTAAGTAAGACAAATCATACCGCAAATATTGAAAATGCACGTACTACGATGGACATTCAAACTTTTCATCGCCAGCGGATATTTTTTACCGCCGACGTTGAAGTCTCCGAGGAAACGCTTTCTCTATAATTTATATACGGTCTTCGTGACGTTGTACTTGTGGAGCTACTGCCTCATGCTCATCCTGGACATTTGCTTGAACGTGGAAACGCAGGACGACTTGCGTGACAATTTTAACATATCTGTCGCGATATTTATCACCAATTGCAAATTTGTCAGCTTAGTCTTAGGGCGAAAAACTATCGTAAATATGTTGGATCTACTCAAGAAGAAGCCCTTTGTACCAGAGAACAATGGGGAAGGAGAAATTCACGCGAGATACGACAATCTAATCGAGTAAGTTCTTTCTGTTCGTTGTAATATACATAATTGTAAGGAAATTATTTAAAATACCTTTTTTTCTTTCTTTTTTCTTTTAGAAAAGTCGCGGTGGGTTATACGATCCAAATCACATTTTGTGTGCTTTCTTTATTAGGAATGGCATTGATATGTGATTTTAAATTAAAAAAATTAATGTTCCCCGGTTGGTTTCCTTTCGACATCACCTCCTCGTGGCTTGCGTTTTCTATGACGTTTCTCTATCAGTTCCTGGGTTTAGTGATCATATGTATTGGTGTCTGTATCTTCGACACGTTATTCGTCGGCCTATTGCTTCACATATGTTGTCAACTTGAGATGCTGGTTTATCGCTTGCACAATATCGAAGGACATGAAATTCAATCGTTAAAACACTGCGTTTGGCACCATAATAAAATATTCAGGTTCGATTCCTGTGTGCTTCTATTTAAACAAATTAACGATCTGACGAAGCTAATTAAAGATTACGGGAGAAACCGAAATAAGTTTTATATTTACTGACTTTCCATTTTCGGACTAAAAAGCTAAGGGTATTAACACTATTTTGATATTCTAACAAGTATATCTTAGAAATGAAGAAGGATGTTGAAAAATATACATATGTCGTGTCTCAAAAACCAATAAAAAGAAATTTTGATACCGCGGGATTAATCGACAACACTGGATTTTAACACTGCTCGGCTGTCACAAAGTGGCGAACGCGATTTGTTATTTTCCTTGCCAAAAACCTTCAGTTAAAGAAAACAGTGAAGTAATACTTATCTCAATTATTTCAGGTTCGCCGATATGGTAAACAATTTTTTTAACAAAATGATGTTCGTGCAATTTATGGCAAGCGCAGTCGCGGTATGCTTTACTCTTTATCTACTAACAGACGTACAGGACACTGCGCAATTAATAGGATGGTCTACGTACATGTTTGCCGGGATATGTCAAACATTTTTCTTTTGTTGGTTCGGAAATGCAGCGAAAGTAAAGGTAGATAGATACACACGCAGATATAATACGAGCTGTCGGTTCTTCGCAAATCAATAATTTGTGGACTTTTTATCTCTGCAGAGCCTGGATATTTCTAATATGGTATATAATAGCGATTGGTCAACGATGTTTCTAATATGGTATATAATAGCGATTGGCCAAATTTGAGCAACGAC